ATGCCCATATTCATTATTTATGATTCATATGTATGCAAATGTGAGGTCGTACTGACAAATGTGACCACGTTTTTCACTAGAGCCTCAGCTATTAGAAATATAGCCATTCCAATCATATTAAAGAATGCAGGGGTTTTTTTGTCGGGAAGCAATGACAATGGAACTTAGCTCCTTCTTTGTGCTTGTATTAGCTATAATGTGTTCTATATGGATCAGTGACAATGATTAGATGATGCTTTTTGACACTTTGCATTTGGAATTATGTTTTAGGTGTGAGAAATGTTATTAGTAAAATGGGATGGGATTAGGACAAGATCTGGACATCCTGCTATTCCGATAAATTAAACAATGTCGAAGAAAGATTTGAATAATAATATTCATTAAAATTTTAAATCATATAATTTATTAAGTTTAAAATCAAAATAATATAAGTACATAAATCACAACAATTTAAAGTTAATTATTGAATTACATTAATCACAACTACACATTATAATAACAATTACAAGTGATTCCTAAGTTATAAGAGTAGCAACAACAAGCCAGTCAAGTACAATATCAAATCATTATTCTTTTATTTTAGCTGAGATATGTTAAGCTAATTATTCTTTCAAAAATAAAGTAAGAAATATAATATAAATAAAAGTTATTAAATAGATAGATATAAAAATAAATTATATTAATATAATTAATATACTATAAAAAAAATATCGTTCTGTTTACTCTATGTCATTAAAATTATCAATATAAAAAATGTTAGTTTTAATTAAGAATTTTATGTATTGAAATTATAATTGATATAACTAATATAAGCATAAATTATATTAATATAATTAATATTTTAATGTATATTTTTAAAATAAAAAATAATATATATATATATATATATAAAATATTTGGGACAGGACAGGATGTCCCGATAATAATCTCATATCCCATCTCATCCCGAACCCCTTTCTTGCCCGTCTCTCAAAGTCCTGTTCCGATTGTTTTCGGGCTAGAGACTCGTCCTGATATGATCGAGACAATATCTGACCAATCAAGATGGGTATAGATGAACACCCCTAACTACAAACATGTATGGAGGAAGTGTGGGTTCCTTTTCTCATGCTTTTGACCTTTGACTCTATATTTTAGATTTCAAATTGATTACCATCTCTCATGATCATAATTAAATTAGAATTAGAATTTGGATGGATGTGCCTTTTCAGGTCACTTTGTTAAAGCATTGAGGTATTTCAAAGAGAAATTAATATGTATAGACATGAAAAGCATTGAAACAGGCTAATATTCATGGGAAATTAAGGTACATTTTATTTCAAATGAATTAGAATTTGAAGAGATGAGGAACTTTCATTTAAGATCACTATATATTCTGCAATTCTAATAATTGCAACAAACAACAACAACAACAAGCCTTTATCCCACTAGGTGGGGTCGGCTACATGGATTGCAAGACGCCATTGTGCTCTATCATTTATTAAGCTTTTAGAAATATTATTAATTAAGAGATCACGTTCAACAACTTCCAAGAGTGTTCTCTTAGGCCTTCCTCTACCTCTCTTAATTGGACTCAAAGTTATATGTTTCACTCTTCTCACTGGTGCCTCCCTTGGTCTTCTTTGTACATGCCCAAACCATCTCAACCGATTTTCTACCATTTTTCCTCAATAGGTGCCACCCTCACTTTTTCACGTATGTGCTCATTTCGAATTTTATCTTTACGTGAATGTCCGCACATCCATCGTAACATTCTCATCTCTGCTACTCCAACTTTATGCTCTTGCTGTCCCGTTAGAGCCCAGCATTCACTACTATATAACATTGCCGGTCTGATAGCAGTACGATAAAACTTTCCTTTAAGTTTATTAGGCACCTTACAGTCACAAATAACTCCTTTAGCTTTTCTCCAATTAAACCACCCAGCTTGAATTCTATGTGAAATATCTCCATTGATTTCGCCATCATTTTGAATAATGGCTCCCAAATATCTAAACTTTTCCACTTGAGGTATAATTTGATCTCCCAATTTCACTTCCAAATTATTTTCGAATAGTCCTTTACCAAATTTACAATATAAATATTCCGTCTTACTTCTACTCAGACGAAAACCTTTCGACTCCAATGTCCTCCTCCATAACTCAAGTTTGCAATTAAGCTCTTCTCTTGTCTCTGCTATAAGAACTATATCATCCGCGAAGAGCATACATTTCGGGATTTCCTCTTGAATATGTTCCGTCAAAACATTTAAAATCAAGTTGAACAAATAAGGACTCAGAGATGATCCCTGATGTAGTCCAATCTTTATAGGAAAATCCTTTGTTTGACCACTAGGCGTTCTTATACTAGTTTTTACCCCCTCATACATATCTTGTATGGCTTTAATATAAGCAATCCGTACTTCCTTTTTTTCCAACGCTTTCCAAAGCACTTCTCTTGGTATACGGTCATAAGCTTTTTCCAAATCAATAAAAACCATGTGTAGATCTTTATCTTTACAACGATACTTTTCCATTAATCCCCTTAATAGATAAATCGCCTCTGTAGTTGATCTACCTGGCATAAAACCAAATTGATTCTCAGAAATACTTGTCTCCAATCTCAACCTGTGCTCAATTACTTTCTCCCACAATTTCATTGCGTGGCTCATGAGTTTAATCCCTCTATAGTTAGTACAATTCTGAATATCTCCTTTATTTTTATAAATAGAATTAATGTACTTCTCCTCCACTCATCAGGCATTTTCTTCGACCGTAAAATCACATTAAATAACTTAGTTAACCATCTCACCCCTTCTTCACCTAAACATTTCCACGCTTCGATAGATATACAATCAGGTCCGTTAGCTCTACCATTTGCCATTTTCTTAAGAGCTTCCTTTACCTCCTTATCACGTATTTTTCGATAGAATGACAAATTTTGTTCTCCTTCACCAATTACTAAATCCTCCAAGTTACTAGATGAATCCTCTCCATCATTGAAAAGTTTAGAAAAATAAGTCTCCCATCTATTTTTAATTTCATTATCTGTAACTAAAATTCTTCCCTCTTCATCCTTAATACACCTTACCTGTTCTAGATCTCTTGATTTTCTTTCCCTACTCTTGGTAATCTTATAAATATTTTGCTCTCCTTCCTTCGTCTCAAGGTTCTTATAAAATTCTTCAAAAGCTTTGGAACGAGCTTCACCCACAGCTCTCTTAGTTTCCTTCTTAGCCATACGGTACCTCTCCCAATTTTCCTCATTGTTACACAAATGTATGTCTTTAAAACAGTTCTTCTTATACTTGATTTTGTCCTGTACACTATTAGTCCACCACCAAGACTCCTTATCTCTCGGACCAAAACCTTTCGATTCTCCCAAAACTATTTTTGCAACCTCCCGTATCTTTTTAGCCATATCCTCCCATATGATGTTAGCACTTCCCTGAGAATCCCAAATTCCTTTATCCAAAAGATTTCGCTTGAAAATATCTTGCTTCTCACCTTTTAATTGCCACCACCTAATCCTTGGTGTTACTACTTGTCGACGTTTTTGGATTTTACTCATAATACACACATCAAGGACTAGGACCCTATGTTGTGTCGTTACAGCATCTCCAGGGATCACCTTACAATTTTTACAAAGTTTTCTATCTGTGTTCCTAACCAAAAGAAAATCAATCTGCGACCTTGAGGCTCCACTTTTGTAAGTGATGAGATGCTCATCTCTCTTCTTGAAACAAGTGTTGGCAATCTTAAAATCATACGCCAATGAGAAATCAAGAAGAGTTTGCCCTTCATTGTTTAGCTCTCCAAAACCAAAACCACCATGCACCCTCGTATACTGACCAGCTTCCCTCCCGACATGCCCATTAAAGTCTCCTCCAATAAAAATCTTTTCACTCTGTGGTATGTGTCGAATCAACCCCTCCAGATCCTCCCAAAATAATTCCTTAAGACTGGCTTCTGTCCCGACTTGCGGCGCATAAGCGCTAACAATATTAACAGTCTCACGTCCAATTATCATTTTTAAAGAAATAATTCTGTCTCCAATTCTGCTAACTTCTACAACGTTCTTCTTCCACTCCTTATCTATAATGATGCCTACTCCATTGCGTGCACTTACTTTTCCTGTATACCAAAGTTTGAAACCTTGAATATCCTTAGCTCCTTCTCCACGCCATTTTGTTTCTTGCAAGCAAAGGATATTGATTTTCCTTTGAATCATAACCCCTACAACCTCTACAGATTTACAATTTAATGTCCCAACATTCCAAGTACCAAATCTAATTTTGCTCTTATGGACTAACTTCTTTAGCCGCGTGCGTCCAGAATGACGCGGTAGCCCTTGCTCATTTAACACTACATCCGGGCGCCGATGCAGCGGCTCTAACTCACTTATCACTGTACTCGAGCCATGCAGCGCATTACTTACGGGCAACGACCTAGCATTAACATTATAACGTCTATTGTTCATGTTCATGATAGATTCAACAAATTTTTACATTGGCTGTTGATGGCCTAACACAACCCTCCTCCTTTACCCGGGCTTGAGACCGGCTATAAACATAGGCGGAGTTAATTCTAATAATTGCATATTGATTTTTTTTTTGTATATTTTGATGATATTCTGATGTTCAATATTGTTATACACATCACTCAGATATATACTAGCCATTTTGATCCCCACTTCCCCCAACTATAATTCTTATGTTTCAAATTTCTTCACTTTTGTCTCCCATTAGCAAGAAAAAAAAATATAAGTCGAATGTTTATATTGAATTTACTGGTAAAAGAAAAATTTTCTAGGGTTTATTAGTATGAAAATAAATATTAGAATTTTTTATGATTTTGCAAGGGTTTGAGTTCACTTTGCTAAATTCCTTCCACATGTTCAAGCTATCACAATTACATATTCTAAAATAAAAGTAATCGATCATGTGTGACACCTTAACCACACGGGGAGCGCACTGGTTTACTCAAAAACTCATTTGGATATTGGCACCAAAAATAAAGTGCTAAAATAAAAACAAACAGGAATTATATTGTCATTGTAATCCTCTGCCATTATACAACACAAAAATAACATTTAACGGGCCCCGCAAGGCATTTGTTCAGTAAAGCATACAAAATATTGCTGCAATAATCTTAAGAATTGTTGTCAGGGTTTCCCATGAAGAGTGCTTTACATTGCTTCATTGTATCTTCAGGACTAGTAACTGAAGAGCAAACAAAAAATATTAGGTAACTTGGAATCCAAGAACGGATTTTGATCTCAATCGCATAAATAAGTTCAAAGATATGGTCTGTAATAGTAAACAAGTTCACTGATATCTTTAAGTCAATAAAACAACTAACCGATATGCCCAATTGTTCTCTCTGATTCATAAATTTCATGGTCGTTCCCACCCTGATCAAAGAAAAAAGTTGACATGAAAGTTAGCAGGCGCTAGAGCATAATAGAACACTCGAGGCTACTCCATGCATGAGAGATCTAAGAATCTATCACAATGGTGATACTTAACAATTTGAATACAAAATAAATTTATTGATTGACCTTGTAGGTTTTGTCACCAAAGAAGTGGATTTCATTGAAGCCATCAAGGTATCTCAAGCAGTAAGTTTTATCCCAACCTTGAGGGAAAACCTGCAGAGTGGATTCAGATAAAAAACTGTTGGCCAATGAATCATTTGACAGATAAAAGTCATAATATCATCATGACAGTCACGCACATCAAAACTTATCTGTCCTCCAATCGAAAATGTTAAGTTCAGATGAGCAAACTTCTCACGTAGGACAGAAACCATTTTTGGGCGTATGTTGTGAATCTGAGAACTCAAGATGCAAACTCTCAGAAAAAGGTACATACCCAGCATAATATCAATTAATGAAAACTCAGTATAAGATAATATCCAAAATACGTCACCTTGTCATACTTTTCAAATTCATCTCTTTCTTCTTGGCTACAGTTTCGACCAATTGGTGAAACATTCAGCATTCCACTACGGAATTCTATAAATGTTCCCCTAAAAATATTATCATGTCATGTATATCACCAGCTTCTTGTAAGTTGAACCAATATGAAAATTATATGACCAGAGTCTAGATCCACCAACCTCTTGATAGGAATATCCAAGTCAGCAATGTAATGAAGTGTAAAATTTATAAATTCCTGCAAAATAGTCCCTAATTAATCTTTACAACAGCAAAATAAAATTAGTGAATTTAATGCACAAAGTCAAGGCCATAATCTCATTTACTCGCTTGTTTTTCATCCTTAAGCACTCAGTTCAACTCAAATTTTCAGGTCATTTTGTCTAGTTATATGGTATCCTAATAGTTTTAAATTGCAATAAATTTATTTACACATGTTAACAAGCCAGTTTCAGTCTTACTAAAGTAACATGTGCCTTGAGATACAACAAAACATAGCCTTACCTTGAGCTTTTCTTCCCCAAGAAATGACTTCAAGCTCTGGAAAGAAGAAAGCAGACAAGTTAGCACGGTACGCTAAAGGGGAAAATATCATATCAAAAAGTTTTTTCCTTTTCTTTCTTTTTTCTTTTGTTTTTTTTTTTTTTTTGGTTTAGTTGGGGTGGAAGAGTTTGCATATATCTAAAGTTCTCTGATTTCTAAAAAATTGTGGACAATGCAACCTTCTATAACTATAGATGGCTAAAACATCCTTTATGTACTTAACAAAAAAGTTCATATCAGGATTTGCTTTTTATAATCCTCACAATATAGCTCCACTTTTTTAAAAGGGGGAAAAACACACAAAAGATAAAGTGGCATGTGTTGTTTTCAATCACTCCAAGAATCTACTGAAACTTATCCAGAAACCATCTTAGTTGATGATGATGCACAGAACCTGGGTCGCAATGAGTTTTCCCTCCTTGTGTGCCACAAGACCATTTTCAGAGAATACATAATCATAGTCACTGATGACTGCAAAGACAAAAGTTGTGTTCAAAGACATGGTATAACTATTTCCCTACTAAAGGGCAGGGAAGAGGAAAAAAGAGAATGGAAAGATCAAGCAAACATCAACATTTTCAGCCAATAAGCATACAGAACTTTGGACTTCATTCAAATGAAGAGGCCTCTAACATTGATAGCTTAATGAAAGAATAAAATCAACTCATAGTAAACCTGTGTTTCCAAGCTGCTCAGATATCTTTACGAGATCAGATCCTCCCACAACTCCAACTGTTACAACCTGTACCCAGACATTACCGAACACAAGAAATGTTAGAAAATATCTATGCTTAGCAGGATAGATGGCATATAAAAGGGATAAACTTAAAGTTTGAGAATTTCCAATTACGTACCTTCTGTAGTTCTTGCATGAAGTTTAACATCTCTGGGGTGGCCACCTTGCATTTGAGTTCAACATGTTAAGCAGACGTAAAGTAAACCTAAACATTCTAAAAGAATAAAACTGGAGTCCTAGCTTTATTTGACAAATAAAAGTAGGGAGTGAAGAAAAATTCAGTGATTAAATTTTGCAATGAGAATTTTATAACCTCAAATCTTTCATAGGAACATATCAAACTGCTGCATTGATATATCATGCTGCTATACTTGATATTAAACGTGTGAACAATATTGAGCTTCAGATTAAATATATACCTTCCTTGGAGCTGTGAGAGTCCCATCAACATCAAATAAAGCAATTAAGCCAGGAGTCCTTGCAGCCATTAATGCTTATGTAGTGCAAATAACCTGCAAAACCAGCACATAATGAATTTTCCTCACACTCCAAGTAAATATATCTTCAAAGAGAAAAATCCATAACTTTTTGCAACGATCGATATACCTTCAAGAATCCAAATATAACTTCTAAAAACGATAATATATATATCTTATAAATTATGAACCAAGCCAAATCATACTTCTTGTCAGATTAACAATATTGTAGATACGTAGTCAACGCAAAACCCTCCTCACAGGCATTTTATCGAACACCTTATAGGCATTAATCCTTAAACTAATGCCAACTTCTTCCTCTTCAATCCTAGTTCCCAAAAATTCCCACAATATAAATATTATAATCAATCAAGCTTTCCACATTACATTCCTTTTACAGAAATCAAATCAATTTAACTCAGAAACCTAAACCCAATCATTTTGATCGGGCAGAACCAAACAACTGAACAATGGAAGAGAAGGATCAAAATGCCTCACCTTTGATCACCAACCACGTAGGAAAGAAGGAGAAGAAGAAGGTCACGAGCTGCACAGGGGAGAGGGAACCTGATACATACACGCTGCAACACTGTCAGCGGGAGGCCTGAACACGCACGACTACACGGACAGAGATCGGAGAACGACGCAGAGCAGGGAAGAGCAAAACAGAGCAGATCGGAGAACACACAGGACTACACGAACACCCACAGTTGCTCGAACAGAGGAGGAGGGGGAGGATTCCGGCACTGTCACGGACGCCGGCGACGAACGAGAAAGAAGGCAGAGAAGGCGCGGAAGCGTTTGGATTTCTGCCTCTCTCTCACTGTCGGTCACGATCGAAGTGAAGAGGAAGGAAGTTCTGATCTTGATCTTAGACACCCACGGCACCACTGAACCACTATCCTATTTTTTATTTCTAACTCTAAAAATTAATAAAATACACTTGACTTTTTTTCTTTTTCCATTGGCCAGAAAATACACTTGACTCGACACAGTAGTTTAGTTTCACACGCTAAATATTACTCTTATAATTTTATTTATAAGATATGAAAAAAAATTAATTCTATTTATAAAACATTTATCAATTTTTAATATTTATTTTTATATTTTTATTCTTATTAAATATTTTAAATAAAAATATCAATAATGAGATTTAAAAATATTTATTAAAAATAAAAATAAAATTTATTAAATTTTAAGATAAAGTTAAGAAAGTTTAAAATTTTTTTTATTATAATAAAATATTTTAAAAATAATTTATAGATAAAATAAAATACAACTTAACTTATTAGGTCATAAAGCACACCGCTTGAGTAATTTGGGAGCATGAGGACATTGATGATAGGTTTGTTCCATTGTAACTCACTCATCAATTTTGGCTTTAAAATTAAAAGACGCAGCTTCCTCGAAACCTTCCTTTCATTGTCTGTATTCAGCCTATTTTGGCTATTAGCTATATGCAACGCAACTTCTTGTAAACTTGCTTTGCTTCGATTCCAATTGATGGTCAGTTTTGGTTTTTTCTTTTTTTAAATATGATCTGGAATTCTCATTCAAATAGAATGTAAAAACATTACAGTCAGTTTTGGTTTTTCTTTTTTTTTTTTCAATACGATCTGGAATTCTCATTCAAATAGAATGTAAAAACATTATACACCAAAAATACCTACTAACAACAAGTAGTTAAACGCAAAAAATCACTGCCCTGGCAAAAAACCAATTTATGTTTTTACAAAATTGTAAAAACATCATTCCGTTTTGGTGTCCTGGCTCTTTGAAGTTTCAACTTTCAATAATCATCAATTCAAATCTTCTCAATTTTGGCACAAATGAACAATAGCATAAAGGATCCAATATTCTTGTTATTAAAGGCCATGTTTAGGTATTGACGCTAAATCTATTACATCAAATATCATAAAAGGATCACAGGATTAAATTGTAATGAATATCTATTTGACGATTACCAAAATGCTCTTTATTAATTAAAAACAAAAACCCCTCCATCTGAAGACCACTGCCTTTGATGACCATTCAAATCCTTTAAGATGATCAAAAGGGGATTTGAACCCCTAGAACCTTTAGCTCATAGAAAAATATTAACTCTATGCCACCAAGACTCTTTAATTATATCATGCGAAAAACTATATATGTAATAAACTTCATTTTCAAACCAATTTCTCCTTATTACATGAAATGAACTTGTTAAAACTCTAACTTATTATTTTACTAACTTATTAATTTGTTAGGGTTATTTGCAAATTAGATTATTTGAAAATTCATATATTTGACAAACTTTCATAATTAAATGTTAGCAAAATAACATGTTCACATATGATCCCAATGAATTTTCAACCCATCCCAATTTGGAGAGCATAACTAGCCTAGTAATGTGGACTGGAGCTATAGTGTGTTGCTCATATGTTTAGTCAGAGGTAATAAGGAGGTTAGAAGGGGAATTTGAGCACGCATCATCCGATACATATTTCCTTGTGAATCATCATGGAATTAAATGATTGATATAAGCTTTGAAGTATATCTTGTATGTAGTTTAAGCTGAATATGTGGATTGTATAAATTGTATGTTATCACTATTTTATATGTTAATTTAAATATTCTAGTTACTGAGATTTTGCATGAAATCTCACCTTGTTACTTTTACTATTTCCATGAGATGATCACAGCAAGGATAAAGACAAAGTCTCGGGAACTAAACACTAGAGCTGCTAAGGATTTTGGTGAATTTTTCTGTAATGCATTGTTATTATCTCTTGCCAACTATAAGGACATATAGATTTAGGTTTATATTTCATGTGAATTTGATATTTGGAGCATTTATGGCATTTTGGCCTAAACTGGTTTAAAAGAGGCCAAGTATTATGCTTAAGGATTTAAGAACTCAAGCTGGGTTTTGGCTCGTTTATTTGTGATTATTTGATTTAATTTCAAAGTATGCTTGTGGAATATCTATAAAGGTGTTTTATGATTTATCGAATCTGATTCTGAATGGGGGATGTATGAAATTTCCTATTTGAATGCTGTGAAATGTACTACCCACTTGGGTGGCGAGTAAGTGGCTTGTCATCGAGGCAAGTAAATGCCTACCGAGGCGAGTGAGGTAAGCCCTCGTCGAGGCAAGTTGAGTTACAGGCCAAGGTGAGTGGTTCTGTAGGCCGAGGTGAGTAAACAAGGACTGAAACAAGGAAACTTTATATATATATATATATATATATATATGATTTAGGTATGTTGAATGCTTTTAAATGGTTGCTAAACTCATGAGAAATCTAGTTATCTTAATTCAAGAGATATGCACTCTTAAAGTTAGTTTAATCTCCTTGAAAGATTGATATATATTGTAATTAGGGGTAATGACTAGGGTCATTGCACAAGGTGGCAAGAGATGAGGAGGAAGGAAGAAGAAGAAATGTAATTGGATTTTTAGCATCAAACATGAAGGATACTGTCTGATCACTTTAGTGACCACTAGAATAAATATTTAAAAATTGTAGGCCATGTAGGTGAGGATTTTTTTTTACCAGCATGTAGATTTTATACAGATTAACCTATATTTAAAAAAAGCTATCAAAGCTAAATTATCAAATCTGTCTTACTAAATAGATAGATTTACGAAATTCTTTCTTAGGGAAGCCAATTACAGATGTTGTAGTTTCAGCACTACTTGATACATGTATCAAAATGTCAAGATGAGGATAGAAATTCTTGCATGAACTTAGTACACCACGTTATCTATGCCTTGTCTCATCCGTGCATTATCTAATAAAAACATGTCATATCATGTGGCTGTAAATATAAATTACCTTCACTTTGTCTCCATTATATACTTTCCAACACAACTCCTTCTCTAATAAATCTCTACCCTCTAAAATGCTTGTCCAACCCCATAAAGCTTTACTCCCCTCCTCAGCTTGCATAAAATCTTTATCATGGAAATATAAGCCTTTTAATAACCTACACCAAAATTCATCATGTTAAATTTAAAGCCTCCACACAGTTTTGGCCAGAAGATCTTTATTAAATGCTTTAAAATCCCTAAACCCCATTCCTCCTTCACCATTTGCTTTAGTCAAGAACTTTTAGGTCTTCTAGTAAATTCTTCCCTCCTCCTTTTTCTAACTTGACCAAAATTTAGAGACCATGCTATCCAACTCAATATACACTTTCTTAGGGAATTTGAAACAAGAAATTAGGAATATAGAAATTGCATTACCAACTGCTCTAACCATCATTTCACACACAGCAAAAGTCAATAGCCTTTACTTCTAGCCCTGCAACTTAAATCCTATCTTACTCTTTATAAAAGCAAGAGGTTTAGACTTAGATTTATCCCAAATCATAGGCAAACTCAAGTATTTACCTAGATCATCAGTATCTCTAATCCCTATCACTTTAAACACTTCCTTTTTCAACTCATATTTGGCATTTGTAGAAAAGAAAATACAATATTTGTGTAGGTTCACAGCTTGACATAAAGCCCTGCAAAACTTGCCCACAATATCCTTTAATAGCTTGCAATTCTTCTCTTATGCATTTAAGAAGACTAATGCATCATCCACAAATAAGTAGTAAGAAAGAATAGGACACTTGCTTGCAAGTTTAATGCCTTTCAACTTTCCACAATCTACAAGCTTTTGAATCATAAGAGATAACACATCCACTACTATAATGAGTAAGTATGTGGATAGAGGATCTCCTTACCTCATTCCCTTTTCATGTTTATATCAACCATTTTCTTACTTGCCACCAAAAGATTTAGGCTCATAGACTTAACATATTCTATAACCCATGAAATCTACCTTTCACCAAAAGCCATTCTCCTCATAACCTTTTCAAAAAAATTCCACTCTAAACTATCATAAGCCTTTCTCAAGTCAAGTTTCACTACCACCTCTACTTTCTAACTCATTTTTTATTCTTCAAATAGTAAAAAGCCTTATGTACAATCACTGTATTATCTTGAATTAATCTACTAGCAACAAAGGCTCTCTAATTGTAAGAAATCACTCTAAACAGAATACCTTTCAATTGATTAGCCAAAACCTTAGCTATGATTTTATAAACAAAATTGCAAAGCCTTGTAGGTCTAAATTGACCAACACTTTTAGCATAATCAACTTTTGGAACTAATACAATATTTATACTATTGATTCTATCTAGACTTGTATGATTATTAAAGAAATTTTGCACCATACTAATAACTTTATTACTCACATCACATCATGTCGTATGATAAAACATACTAGAAAAGCCATTATGGCATAACGCTTTATTTCCACCAAACTGAAATGAATCCACACATACTTTTTCTACATAAATAGGTTTCTCTAGCATCATATTCTTATCATCAATCACTTGAGAATTTGCATAACTCAGCAATTCTTTAGCTTCATAAAACCTAACAAAAGCCTCAGTAATCTCACCTTCCTCCTCCAGCCAATCTCCATTATTATCTTTTAACCTTACCACCTTATTTCTTATTCTTCTTTGAATAGCGATGAAGTGAAAAAATTGAGTATTTCTATCACCAGCCATTAACCAATTAATCCTTGACCTTTGCTATCAATATTTCTCTTCTCTATCCCATGCTTCTTTAATTTAACAAATTATCATGTCTACTTTAACCTTTTTATCAGTATTTTACTGACTTGATTTGTATCTCTCCACGAATAATAAGCCTTTTAATAACTGTCCTAGCATTAGGAAATACAACTCTTGCCCAATTCTATAAAATTTTCCTATAATTACAAATTCTCAAAACTACATCCAACACTTTATCCTCAATATCTCTAGTATTAATTTGCCAACATTTCCTAACTATCTCTAAACACTCCTCATGCTTAACCCATATAGCCATAAATTTGAATAATTGAGGAGTTTTAA